AGAACAGACTACATATTACGCCATAAAGCAAGCCTTAACAAAATCTAAAGCATTGAAATATTACAAAGCATCTTTTCTGACCATAAAGCCATAAAAGTAGAAACCAATGACAGAAAAAGCAAGGAAAAAATATCAAACGCGTGGAAAATGAACAACACCTTGCTCAAAAACTACTGGGTTAAAGAAGAAATTAAGGACAGAATAAAGAAATACACAGAATCAAATGAGAATGAAAACATATCCTACCAGAACCTTTGGGACACAACAAAAGCAGTGCTCTGAGGTCAGTTTAAAGCAATAAATGCACACATTCAAAAAGAAGAAAGGGCCAAAATCAAAACATTAAATCTAAAACTCAAACAAATAGAAAGAGAGCAGCAAAAGAAGCTCTCGGGCACCAAAAAAAGCAAATAATAAAAATCAACGCAGAATTAAATGAAACAGAAAACGGAAAAACAATTGAAAGAGTTAACGAGACCAAAAGCTGGTTCTTTGAAAAGACTGACAAAATCGATAAACCATTGGCCAAACTGACAAAAGAAAAAGATGAGAGGAAGCAAATAACCTGAATAAGAAATGAGATGGGCGATATCACAACAGACCCAACTGAAATTAAAAGAATCATAACAGTATACTATGAAAAATGGTACTCTAACAAATTTGAAAACCTAGAGGAAATGGACAAATTTCTAGAAGCTCACTACCTACCTACACTAACACAAACAGAAGTAGAACAACTAAGTAAACCCATAACAAAAGAAGAGATTTAAAAGGTAATTTAAAAACTCCCAACCAAAAAAAGCCCCGGTCCTGACAGCTTCACTGGAGAACTCTACCAAACTTTCAGAAAAGAGTTAACACCACTACTACTATAGGTATTTCAGGTCATAGAAAAGAATGAAATACTCCCAAACTCATTCTATGAAGCCAGCATAATTCCAATACCAAAACCAGGTAAAGACACCACAAGAAAAGAAAATTACAGACCAATATCCTTCATGAACACAGACACAAAAATCCTCAATAAAATTCTAGCCAACAGAATTCAACAACATATCAAAAAAATAATTTACCATGACCAAGTGGGATTCATACTAGGCATGCAGGGATGGTTTAACATTAGAAAAATAATCAATGTAATCCATCACATAAATAAAACAAGAGACAAGAACCACATGATCTTATCAATCGATGTAGAAAATTGATGAATTAGACAAAGTCCAACACCATGATAAAAACTCTCAGCAAAATAGTAATAGAAGGAAATTCCTCAACATAATAAAGGGCATTTATACAAAGCCAACAACCAACATCATCCTAAATGGAGAGAGTCTGAAAGCATTCCCCTTGAGAACGGGAACCAGACAAGGATGCCCTTTATCACCACCCTTATTCAACATGCTGCTAGCAGCCTAGCCAGAGCAATTAGGGGCATCCAAATTGGTAAGGAAGAAGTCAAAGTATCTCTATTTGCAGATGATATAATCTTACACATAGAAAACCCCAAAGAATCCACAAGAAAACTACTGGAACTAATAGAAGACTTCAGGATATAGGATAAACATACAAAAATCAGTTGGATTCCTCTACACCAACAAAGAGAACTTCCAAGAGGAAATCACCAAATCAATATCATTTACAACAGCCCCCAAGAAGATAAAATTCTTAAGAATAAATCTAACCGGAGAAGTAAAAGACCTATACAAAGAAAACTATAAGACACTACTGCAGGAAACCAAAAAGGACCTATATAACTGGAAAAACATACCTTGCTCATGGATAGGAAGAGTCAACATTGTGAAAATGTCTATTCTACCCAAAGCAATCTACAGATACAATACAATCCTGATCCAAATTCCATTGGCATTCTTTAATGAGATAGAGAAACAAATCACCAACTTCATATGAAAAGGGAAGAGGCCCCGGATAAGTAAGGCATTACTCAAGAAGAACAAAGTGGGAGGCCTCACACTACCTCAGTTTAGAACCTATTATACCGCCACGGTACTCAGAACAACCTGGTACTGGTACAAGAACAGATACATAGACCAATGCAACAGAATTTAGAATCCAGACATAAATTCATCCACCTATGAGCAGCTGATATTTGACAAAGGCCCAAAGTCCATTATTCAGGGAAAACAGTCTCTTTAACAAATGGTACTGGCATAACTGGATATCCATCTGTAAAAAACTGAAACAAAACCCATAACTCGCACCATACACAAAAACTAACTCCCAATGTATCAAAGACTTAAATATAAAATCTAAAATGATAAAGATCATAGAAGAAAAAATAGGGACAATGCAAGGAGCCCTAATGCATGGCATAAACAGACACAAACCATAAGTAACAATGCACAAACACCAGAAGAGAAACTAGATAACTGGGAGCTCCTAAAAATCAAACACCTACACTCATCAAAAGACTTCACCAAAACAGTCAAAAGACAACCTACAGACTGGGAAAAAATTTTTGGCTATGACAAACCCGAACAGCATCTAATCTCTAAAATCTGCAAGATACTGCAAAACATCAACAACAAAAAGACAAATAACTCAATTAAAAAATGGGCAAAGGATATGAACAGGCACTTCACCAAAGAATACATTCTGGCAGATACCAGATACATGAAGAAATGCTCACGATCATTGGCCATTAGAGAAATGCAAATCAAAACTACAATGAGATACCATCTCACCCCAGCAAGGCTAGCATTAATTCAAAATACACAAAATAATAAATGTTGGAGAGGTTGTGGAGAGACTGGAACACTCATATACTGCTAGTGGGAATGTAAAATGGTACAACCACTTTGGAAATTGATTTGGCGTTTCCTTAAAAAGCTAGAAATAAAAGTACCACATGATCCAGCAATCCCACTCCTTGGAATATATCCTAGAGAAATAAGACCCATCACACGAATAGATGTATGCACACCCATGTTCATTGCAGCACTGTTCACAATAGCAAAAAGATGGAAACAACCTAGGTGATGAATGGATAAGCAAATTATGGTATATTCACACAATGGAACACTCGGCAACAATAAAGAACGACAATGAATCCGTGAAACATCTCATAACATGGATGAATCCAGAAGGCATTATGCTGAGTGAAATTAGTCAGTTGCAAAAGGACAAATATGGTATGAGACCACTATTATAACAACTCAAATGGTTTAAACACAGAAGAAAACATTCTTTGATGGTTACAAGGGTGGGAAGAGAGGGAGAGGGGTATTCACTAACTAGATAGTAGATAAGAGTTAGGTGAAGGGAAGGACAACACAAGACAGGGGAAGTCAGCACAACTGGACTAAACCAAAAGCTAAGAAGTTTCCTGAATACAAACACTTCAAGGGATAGAGAAGAAGAGGTGGGGGTCTGGGGACCATGGTTTCAGGGGACATCTAGGTCAACTGGCATAACAAAGTTTATTAAGAAAATGTTCTGCATCCCACTTTGGTGAGTGGCATCTGGAGTCTTAAAAGCTAGTGAGCGGCCATCTAAGATACATCAATTGGACCCAATCCATCTGGAGCAAAGCAGAATGAAGAACACCAAAGACACAAAGAAAATTATTGGCCCAAGAGACAGAAAGGGCCACCTAAATCCGAGACTCCATCAGCCTGAGACCAGAAGAACTAGATGGTGCCCCGCTACCACCAATGACTGCCCTGACAGGGAACACAACAGAGAGTCCCTGACGAAGCAGGAGAAAAGTGGGGTGCAGAACTTAAATTACAGTAAAAAGACCAGACTTAATGGTCTGACTGAGACTGGAGAGACCCCAGGAAGACATGGCCCCTGGCCTCTGTTAGCCCAGAACTGAAACCATTCCCGAAGCCAACTCTTCAGACAGAGATTAGACTGGATTATGCGACATAAAATGATACTCGTGAAGAGAGTGTTTCTTAGCTCAAGTAGCTACATGAGACTAAATGGGCAGCTCCCGTCCAGAGATGAGATGAGAAGGCAAAAAGGGACAGGAGCTGGTTGAATGGACATGGGAAATCAGGGGTGGAAAGGAGTGTGCTGTCACAGTATAGGAGAGCAGCTAGGGTCACATAGCAATGGGTGTATAAATTTTTGTATGAGAAACTGACTTGAACTATAAACTTTCCCTTAAACCACAATTTAAAAAAAAAGAAGAATTGAGTGCTAAGGAGAGACAGAAGTATCTGGAACTGAACATGACACAAAGCGCTTTGTCAAAGATCATTAAGGCTGGGTTTGCAGCACTCCAACTAGAATACTTTTTCACTGCAGGCCCAGATGAAGTGTGTGCATGGACCATCAGGAAAGGGACAAAGGCTCCTCAGGCTGCAGGAAAGATTCACACACATTCTGAAAAGCGTTTCATTATGGCTGAAGTAATGAAATACGAAGACTTTAAAGAAGAAGGTTCTGAAAATGCGGTGAAGGCTGCTGTAAAGTACAGACAAGGAAGAAATTATACTGTTAAAGATGGAGATAGTACCTTCTTCAAATTTAATACACCTCAGCAACTGAAGAAGAAACGAATTTTGTTATAGCTCAGATAAACACACAATTTCCAAAAGGCTTATCCTTTTTTTTTTTTTTTAATTAAATTTTCTGAAAACTTGAGGGACAAATAAAAGTTGGGGGATGGGAATCTTCTACAAACAAAATTATTTTTATTTGTTTTAAAATTAAAATACTGTGCTACTCCAATGAAATGCAAGTTCAGTAAATGTTAACAGCTTTCCTTTTTACATGTTTAAGACTCTACTCCAAATTGTAGAAGCTTTTCAGGAACCATATTACTCATTATACTTTATTAATCTCCATCATGTATGCCAAGCCTGAAATATTTGACAGTGAGGACAATGTGGCTTGCTTCTTTTTGAATCTACAGATAATGCATGTTTTACAGTACTCTGGATGTCTACAAGCAATAAAATATTTAACAAAAAAAAAATTTTTTTAACTCTTATAGAAGTTAAAATAACATATAAGCAAAATATCACACTTACTCTGAGGAGTAATTCTGTGGCTACATTAAACTTAAAATGAAGGAGCTCCTGCAGCTCTTGAATTGATCCTTGGTACTGTTTTACTTTTTTATCTTGCAAATCATATGGTGGAGTTTCCAACAAAATTAATTTCAATTTCTCAATTAACTATAAAGTAGGAAAATATTTACATTAATACTCTCACATAAAGTCATGGAAAAAGTGAAAAGGGGAAAGTTCTATCACTTCTGAATTTAGAAACATATCTTATACTCAGTAAAACATATAGAAATCATTTCCTGTATTTAGATCATAGAAAAACAAATTATTTCCTCCAAAACTTTGCATATAACGATTTTCAACTCTATGTAACAGAGCTACAATTACGCTATGCTATCATAAGCAAGTTGACAGACGAGTCACAGTTGGTCATTACTTAAGACTATGGAACTATTGTAATAACATGAGGAGAGAGCGAATAAGAAATGGGTAAGAGAAGGAAGAAAGGAGGAGGGGAACTACTAACATTGACTGAAAGCTTCCTTACTAAATGCTTTATATGTTCTAATTCATTTAACCCTGATCATAACCCTGTGAGGCAGATACTGTTTTTGTGCTCATTTGATAGATGAGGAAACTGAGGCGCAGCATGATCAAGGAATAGCTAGTAAGCAGCAGAACTGAATTTTGAACACGGACACAGGCAATAACATAGAAAATTTCCAAATTAAGAGAGGCAGCATAGTAGTGTAGGGTAGTATGGACTCAAGCAAAGATGCTGGGTTTGCATCCCAGTCACCTTTTACTAGCACTGTGACATGGGCAAGTTATTCAACATCTCTGTGCCTCAGCTTTCTCATTTGTGAAATGGGGATAACAGTGCCTACTTCATAGGGTTATTATGAAAGTTCAGCAAGTTAATATTTCCAAAGCCTGGCACATAGTTAGTACTATAAAAGAATTTGTTAAATAAATAAACTCCATAATTTGGAACTGGGTGCTTACCAAGGGGTCATTTCCTTGTTACTGCTATCCAATTTTTGTTCCTCTGGTAGCTTCTTGCTTTAGTTTCCTATTACCATGTTTACTCTCCTATTCTGTCTCTTATTTTGTTTTACTTACCGCTTTCCCATCTTCTCTACTAATTTAATATTTTTACTTATGTACCCCACAATCTTGTAATAGTAAGATGTCACTCTTGCTCATCACTGGTGAGCTCTAGGGCTACTTCCTGCTGTCTCCCTGAGAACAGCAAAGCACCAGGTACCTGGCCCAGCATCACACTAAGGCAGCCTCCCTGGAGGAAAGACGCACAGTGGAGAGAACACTATATAATGAATCTGTTGGAGTGCCCAGTCGCTCAGACTGAGGCTCTTAGGGGCCCTTAAAAAGTCAGAGTAAGACCCATCTTTTTTCGGTGGGGGCTCAGAGGGTACCTTATGAAAGTTATTTAATCTGTTTCTTTATGTGTAAAACGAAGCTCATAACCTTGTTGTTCAGATTAAATGAGTCAATGTATGTTCTAAATTCAACAGAGTGGCTGGTACTTAGTAAATATCAACTACAATCTTCTTTAAGAACTACAAAGTAAAAATCCCATCTCCAGTATTTGTACCTCTAAATTTTGATTCTCAAGTTAGGAATTTGAAGTTACCCTATTTTACAGCAACACGGGAGCCCTGCTGGCACAGTGGTTAAGAGCGCAGAGGTAAAGAGTTGCTAACTCAAAGGTCAGCAGTTCGAATCCACCGGCCACTCCCTGGAAACCCCATAGGGCAGTTCTACTCTGTCCTATAAGGTTGCTATGAGTCGGAATCGACTCGACAGCAACTGGTTTGGTTTTTGTTTATAATAACATGGAGAAGTTAATCTTAGCAGTAGTGACAAGAAGCAAAAAGCATTAGAGGATAATAATAGGAAAGAGGAGTGGATTCCATTTAGTTCTATTCTTACATATTATTATTTAGGTGTGGATTTCTTCTTATACTTGGGATTTGTTGGGCTCCTGAATCTGAGGATTGATATCTTTTATCAATTCTGGAAAATTATTAGCCATTATCTCTTTGAATACTGTCTCTCCTTCATTGCTCTGTATCTCCTTCTGGTATTCCTATTCAATATATTTTTAGCTCTTCTTACTCTGTCATATATGTCCATTAACCACTCTTTCACATTTTCCATCTCTGTCTCTCTGTGCTGTATTCTTCCAATTCAACTTCTGATTCACCTTTTATCTCTTTAGCTGCATTTTATCTGCTATTTAATCAGGCCACTAGTTTTAGTTACTAAATTTTTAATTTCTCTAATTTTTTTCTCTTATTCCTCAGTCATGCTTTCAATATCCTCTTTTATTTCCTTAAACATATAAATATATTCAGTACTCAATAATTCTAATATTTATAGTATTTTTCAGTTCTGATTTTGGCTTTTGATGTTTCTGATGGCTCATTCATGCTGGATTGTTTTCTTAATTGTATTCTTTTTCTTTACCTTTTTTGTTATGAGCTCATATTTCTAGGGACTTTAATCATGAGAACACTTTGAGATCTGTGTTTAAGGTGTATTATTCCCAAGAGACTTTGTGTTTGCTTCTATCAGGAGTCTGAGAACACCACCAAGCCACAACTGCTTTAAATTTTACATTTGGGTCTTTCAGGATCTTATAGATGGTGTGAATTTCTGCCCCAAACTCAGGGGAAGACTAGCTCGTGGTTGAGAATTCTAACAAAGACATTTTTGTTTCTCCTCCACTAAACTAAAGATGCGCCAAACAAGTTTTCTTATCATCTCCTTTTGCAGAGTAGGTTTTTCTCCCTATTATTCATAGCACCTTCTGAGGCTTCCAGGTATACAGGGGTCTCTGATTCAACTTCCCACCTTGCATGCATGCTAGGCTTTGCCTACTGATGCCCCTTTAAGCCAATGCTAAGCTACCAGGGGTTAGCAGATACTTCTGGGAAGCCATTGCTTCAGGATTTGCTTACTTATCTGAAATGTTTTATGCCTTCTGAGATTTACTCGTGTAAGCTAGGTGATGCATTTAGAAGTCCTTAAATTTTTTTCCCCAGCATTTTAAAATGCACTGTAGAATGGAAGCTTCTCAGGCTAGCCTATACACCCTATTCGCAGAAGTTAGGATACTCTTATTCATCTTTGTACCCCCAGTGTCTAAAAGAACAGAAGCCTGGCACACAGTAAACATTAAAAAAAACATTTTTCCTGAATTACTCAAGTGTCAATAAATTCAGCTGAGGATAAAATCACCCACCGTTTTTTCCCCAAAATTATCTACATAAATGTATACTACTTGATTTTTTTTTTGGCTTGAATTATGAGTCAGAATTGACTCAACGGCACCGGGTTTGGTTTGGTTTTGGGTTTATTATGCTATGTGGACCTTCTACAAGGTGGCAAGAGGATGTTAAGAGTTTTAAAAATAAACATGAAAATGAAAAGATTACCAAATACCTCTTTATATAACCAAGGGGTCAAAAGTTGTAGTGTTATTAATTAGCAAATAATAAATTCATTTTTTCTATTTTTGGAATCACTATCAGATAATTTATAATTTAAATAATTTAAAATTATAGGATAATATTTATACACTTACATTTAGCACTAGTTTACTCTTCTCAATCACTTCCTCAAACGTTTCATTTGTTTCCTCTTTCCACAAACTAATGAAAGTATTCATTTCTTGGGGAACTAAAGGATCAGGACTCCCATCACATTGAATGTAGTGATTCCACTGTGGAATAAAAATGTATCAAGGTTCACACTGGTGAAAATGCAATCAAAGAATAAAGAGACTTCTTTTTTGAAGTAGGAGTTCTCATAAACCGTGTTTTCCCAATTTAGACAAAAACATGCTATAACTTCAAATAGTAACTTGAGTATCACTAAAATAAATTCCTCTTTATCAAAATAATTTCTAATCCTCAATAATTCAGATAAATAGAATTTCTATTTATTTTTGTATTTTATTTTTAGAACAGTATTTAACAGTTCATTTTGTTTTGTTTTCCTCTAATCATAGAGCTCCTATGTTTGCAAAAGCCAACACCTGACTCATTTCTATTTCACCAATTATCACCAATTGCTAATCATCAATGGCATTTTAGTATGAGCCTTTCCATTCATTTTGTAGTCTGTGCATATTGTTACATATTTATAATCATACTTATAATTTTTCACTAAAAATTATACCATAAACTTTTGTCATATTATTACAGGGTTTCAATGTTCTCCTGATAACAATCTATATTGTTTCCAAAGGCAAGCTGTTTTGAATAACATTAGGATTGCCTTAAGCACAAACCTTTTTTAATTTAGGATAATTTCCTCAGTATAGATTCCTAACAATTGAATCAGAGTCAAAGGGCATAACAATTTTAAGGATCTTGATAAATACTGACAAACAGCTTTCTAGAAAGCTTTATAAATTTACTTTGCCACAAGCAATATGAGAATACTTATGTCAGATGAGAGATTTTTTATAGACACATTTAAAATTTCTTGGGAACAAGATGGATATCAGACTACAACTCCCACTTGTGGTACCTAAGTATTACCAAGTAATTATCAAGAAAAAAATCTATATATAAATCAGTCTTACCCGAGAAAGCAATCTATTTTCTCGTTTTAATTTCTCTGCTTCAGGATAACATGCCTCTAATAAATGAAGTTCTTCAAGTTCTTCTTTTCTCCTTTCTAGATCCTGTTGCATGAAGATACACAGATTGATCTGCTCTTTAATTTTAGCTTTATGTTTCACAAGTAGCATCTAAAATTTACCTGGCTAAATATATATATAAATATATAGCTCCAAAATGAATACTAAAATTAGTTTGAATGTAACTGATAGTTCCAAAAGGATTCATCTAAAACAGTGCTTCACAAAGTGTAATCCACAGACACCTGGGGGTCCTCAAGACTCTTTAGGAATCTGTGAGATCAAAAATATTTTCACAATCATATTAATACATTATTCACCTTTTTCACAGTATACACATTTGTACTGATGGTGCAAATGTAGTAAAACTGCTGGCACCTTAGCACAAATCAAGGCAGTGATCAACTGTACTAGTAGTTGTATTCTTCTGGGGGCAGGATTAGGGGCAGGGGTGAGAAGTGGGAGGCTGGAGGGTTGGAAAGTTGGGTGGGGTGAGAAGTAGGAGCCAGTTTTATGTAAGAATGACCTTGATGAGGACTTCCGGTCAACACGGCGCTATAGACAGGAGCATCATGCCGTCCCTCCACAGTAAAGATCCGAAAAACCAAGTCAGAGACAAATGTCAATCCTAAAACTTTAAGCACCAAATGAAGAGATAAAGAACTCAGCCAAGTACCAAACAGAATAAGAAACTGAAAGAGAACAGAGAGCAAGAAGAGATACATGCAGAGGTCCCCTATCAGCTAACGCAGCACCGATTTGCCATCTTGGACTCCTGTCAGAGATCGGCGAACAGAGAGTATGCGAAAGCAGTTTCACCGAGCTCCCAGCAAGAGACAGAACAACTGGTAACCAGCAATATATCCTTTCCCACTCCCCACCCTTCTTCACTCGGCTTCCTCTGCTTCCTTCAGCCACAGTCTCTTGACTGGGAGGCACTAGCTTCAGCCGTGTTCTGCTGGGATGCCACCCGCCTACACTGGCCAGCTCCCTGCGTGCCATCTGTTTGTTGCTGGTGTCGCTTTTTTCTGCTTCTTTTGGTTTCTTCCATACCTCTCAAAACCTCCTCCTACTTTCTCTCAAATAGCTGGCTCCGTGTGCCATCTTTGCTTCTTCCTGAAAGACTGTGAAATGCTGCTCGACTGTGGAACTGCTTCGAAGCCCACGCTGCCATGCTAGTGGGACCCCCAGGGTTTTTTTGTTTGTTCGTTAGTTTTGATTTGTTCTGTTTTGTTTGTTCATTTGTTTTCTTTTTCTTTTCTTGGTTTGGGAGCTCCTTCTAGCTGGGCTGTACTGCACGGCTTGACAGCTACTTCCTTAGTCTGCGTAGCCGCACAGTGGGATCCCTGGAGACATTTCTGTTTTCTTTTTTGTGTTTTTCTTTTTGTTTATTTTTTTCTCTTTTTCCCTTTTTGTCTTTCTTCATTTCTCAGTTTCTCGTCTCTCCAAACTTACCTTCTCTTCCTGTCTTCTGAATACCTGATGCTGTGTGACACTTCTACCCCTTTTAGCCAGGCTGTACTTCGCGTCCTGGGAGCCACTTTCCCAGTCTTCACAGCCGCACCAGTGGGATCCCTGGGGGCTCTGCTTTTCTTTTTTTTTTCTCTAATTTTTATGTATTTATTTTTTTCATTTTATGCCTTTTCTTTTATTTTTCTTTTTGTTTTTCTCCATTTTTCAGTCTCTCATTTCTCCACTCCAACAGCAAGTGCCCTTAGTTTGTTTGTTCTTGGCTCCTGTTTCTCTCTCCTCTCTCTCCTCTTTCCCATACCCATCTTAGCTCCACACATCACAATCTACGCCCTCCTTCCTGCCTACCTGCACCATGCACTGAACATCAAAACCTCAAGCAGCACAGGCATGGCCTACTGGAAGCTGCCTTACACTGATTCCCAGCCTGCCCTGTCAGCCCTACTACGTGCTACAAACAACCCATCCCAGCAACTCCCTTTCAGCTGGACCTGCCCTGCTGCACCACAGATGAGCAACTGACTCTGCCCATTGGACAAGGAGGCAAAAAGTATCATGCCCACAGACAAGCAAGCAAAAAAGAATTCACGGACATAATCAAAAACAAAAACACCAGGACAAAACAAATATATAATCAATAAATGAGGAAAATAATTACTGAATGTCCTGAAGACATCAGACAATATCAAAACATATAAAAAACCAGGACAGGATGGTTCCAGTAGGCATCCAAAATAAAACACCAGATGACTTTCCAGTAGATGAAAACGCACTAGAACTACCTAATAGGGAATTTAGATCTCCAATATTCAGAACTATCCAAGAGCTGAAGCAAAAAGCAGACAAAAATGAGGGAAAAAAACACAAATTCATGGAAAAGGCAGACAAATTCATGGAAAATACAGACAAAAAAAGGAAGAATTCAGGAAAATAATACAGGAACAAAATGCCAAAATAAATTTACAACTTGAAATCATACAACAACAATTAGAAATCTAAAAGATAAACAACAAGATTACAGAAATGGACAGTGTCATAGAAGGGCTGAGGAGCAGATTTGAAATGGTGGAAGACAGGATCAACGAAATTGAAGACAAACACTTGGCTACAACTCTATTTGAGGCAAAATCAGAAAAAAGAACAAAGAAAAACGAAGAAACCCTGAGAATTATGTGGGATACAATCAAAAGGAAAAATTTGTGAGTGATCGGATTTCCAGAACAGGGGGAGAAAACAGAAAACATAGAAAGGATCATTGAACAACTGCTGACGGAAAACTTCCCCAATATCATGAAAGATGTAAAGGTGACAATTCAAGAAGCTCAACGAACCCCATATAGGATAGACCTCAAAGGAAAATCACCAAGGCACATCGTAATCACACTCACTAAAACTAAAGTCAAAGAAAGAAACCTGAGAACAGCTCAAGAAAAATGAAAAGTCACATACAGTGGAGAAACAATAAGACTAAGCTCAGATTATTCAGCAGAAACCATGCAGGCAAGAAGGCAATATATAAAACCTTGAAAGAAAAAAATTGCCAGCCAAGAATAATATACCCTGCAAAACTCTCATTCAAATATGATGGTGAAATTAGGACATTTCCAGATAAACAGAAATTAAGAGACTATGTAAAAACCAAACCTAACTTACAAGAATTATTAAAAGGAGTCCTTCGGTCTGAGAACAAATGACATCAGACCGTAGGCTGAATCTAGGAAGCAGGATCATACCAGCCATATATCAACCTAGGAAATGAACTCTCTAGGACTATCCAAAACCAAAAGAATTACAACAAAGAACCAAAGAGGTTAATCTGTAAATGACAACAACATCAGAAAAATAAAAGAGGGGATAAACAGTGCCATTATAGAATCTTCTAATGGAGAGGAAGGGAAGGCAAGACCAAATAATAACAGACTGGTTCAAACCTAGGAAGATAGGGGTAAATTTCAAATAGACCACAAACCTGCTCATCAAAATAAAGAAGGAAAACATGAAATCTCAGTAAAAATAATATCTACAAAAAAAATTTTTTTTTAAAAATCCACAAACAAAAGGAATTCAGCACAGAAGAGTAAGAGGAACGAAGAAAACATAAGCACCACAAAAAGAGCCCTACAAAATGACAGCAATAAACTCACACCTCTCAATACTTACACTGAATGTAAATGGCCTACATGCCATAAAGAGACAGAGAGTGACAGAAATGATTAAAAAAACAGCATTCATCAATATGCTGTCTACAAGAGACACACTTTAGAAACAAAGACGTAAATTTATTAAAAAATCAAAGGATGGAAAAAATATATATCAACCAGCTACCAAAAAAGAGCAGAAGTGGTAATACTAATCTCAGATAAAATAGACTTTAAAACAAAATCTACCATAAAAGACAAAGAAGGACACTATATAGTGATTAAAGGGATGATCCATCAAGAAGACATAACCATAATAAACATGTATGCATCCAATGACAGGGCTCCAAAATACATAAAACTCTAGCACGGAAAAGAGAAATTAACACTTCCAAAATAATAGTAGGAGACTTCAACACACCACTCTCAGTAAAGGACAGGACACCTAGAAAGAAACTCAACAAAGATACAGAAGATCTAAAGGGCACAATCAGCCAACTTCACCTCATGGACATATAGAACACTACACACAACAGCTGCAAAGTACAAATTCTTTTCCAATGCACATGAAACGTTCTCCAGAATAGACTACATCTTAGGCCACAGAGCAATGCTCAACAAAATCCAAAACGTTGAAATAATACAAAATATCTTCTATGAACACAACACCATCAAAGTAGAAATTAGTAACAGGAAGAGCAAGGAAAAAAATCAATCACATGGAAACTGAATAACACCCTGCTTACAAACCACTGGGTAATATAAGAAATCAGAGATGGAATCAAAAAATTCCTAGAATCAAACGAGAATGAAAACACATACCAAAACCTCTGGGATACAGCAAAGGCAGTCCTCAGAGGACAATTTATAGCAATAGATACACACATCAAAAATCAAGAAAGGGACAAAGTCAAAACATTAACTACAGAACTCAAACAAATAGAAAGAGAACAGCAAAAAAAGCCCACAGCCACCAGAAGAAAGGAAATAATAAAGATTGGAGCAGAAATAAATGAAATAGAGAATAGAGAAACAACAGAAAGAATCAACAAAACCAAAAGTTGGTTCTTTGAAAGGATCAACAAAATAGACAAACCACTGGCCAAACTGACAAAAGAAAAACAGGAGAGGAAACAAATAACCCAAATAAGAAATGAAATAGGAGACGTTACAACAGGCCCAAGTGAAATAAAAAGGATCATAACAGAGTATTATGAAAAACTATACTCCAATAACTTTGAAAACCTAGAGGAAATGGATAAATTTCTATAAACACACTAACTACCCAAACTAACACAAAGTGATGTTGAAAATGTGAAGAGACCCATAACAAGAGAAGAGATTGAAAAGATAATAATAAAAAAAAAAAAACCTCCCAACAAAAAAAAGCCCCGGCCCAGATGGCTTCACTGGAGAATTCTACAAAACATTCAGAGA